GGTGAGGTGGGCTGGCTTTTTGTGTTGTAGCTGCTGTGTGTATGTATATGCGTGGGTATGTGTGTGTATGATGTCGTAGTCAGATAGATTAAATCGATGGAAATGTAGGACTGTATACACACACACACACACACACACGCGCGAGATACACACAGCCAGTCATCTAACGAACGAATGCGACTGTTGTTGTTGCTGCGGCAAAATACAACAACAGACAGCCAACGCATCACAGCAGCAGCAGCAACAGCAACAGCAACATCACCAGAGGTCTCCAATAAAGGGGACCTAATGGATATATAATACTGTAAAGCAGATATCAATTGAAGATCGAATCCATATAAATAGATATAATATATTAAATAAATAAATATTTAAAGTAATTTCTAAACAATATTTAATAATGTTACTAATGAATAATGTTTATAAATATATAAAATATAATTATATTATTTATAAATATATAAAATATAATTAAATAAAATGAAATCTAAAATATGAAGAGAGGAAAAAAGATTAGACAAATAAAAAAATAAATTTAAAAAATATTTAAACATAAAACTCAATTATATATTTAAATTTAAAATTAAAAATTAATTAAAAATAATATAAATAAATAATGGATATATAATACTGTAAAAGCAGATATTAATTGAAGATCGAATCTATATAAATAGATATAATATAATAAATAAATAAATATTTAAAGTAATTTCTAAACAATATTTTATAATGATACTAATGAATAATGTTTATAAATATATAAAATATAATTATATTATTTATAAATATATAAAATATAATTAAATAAAATGAAATATAAAATATGAAGAAAGGAAAAAGTATTAGACAAATAAAAAATAAATTTAAAAAATATTTAAACATAAAACTCAATTATATATTTAAATTTAAAATTAAAAATTAATTAAAAATAATATAAATAAATTGCTGAGCTTTCGTTCTACCCAACCTCTAAAAATAAATAAATAATTAAAATTATGAAATTAAATATTTAAGCTTTGTAAATTTTCACATGTTTTCCATATATTTTTACAATATATAAACATAATTATTTATATTTATATACAAACAAAATCTATGACTAATATATGTTACAGATTTTTCAAATTTATATATAAATCGTTTAGAATTTCTAAATAAATGCAGTAAACATAAACATTCCATAGCAGCAGCATAAATATTGTTGAGTTGCTAGTGAAAATACTCAACGTAATTAATCCCCTTTCAGCTGCTACTACGCCACTGCCTTACCGCATTTTCAGCTTTGTTTGCTTTCATATGCTTACTTATAGATGTATGTGTTTGTATGTGGTGTTTGTGTCTGTGCATGTGTGTGTGTGTGTGTTCATATAACTGAGCATGTACTTGAGTATATCATATAGAGTATATACAGTGAAAGCTCTCATTAAAGCCAGCTACATTGCTGTGCTGAAGTCCTTCTTGCGGATAGCTGATCGTGCACCTGACTGAGAAAAGTGAAGCCGGTGGCATGCCGCTGCCATTGGAAGGCATCAGTTAATGCGGAACTCTATGCAGGAGTGCTCACTGTGATGGTGGGGTTGATAAGCCTTCAAATCGAAATTATCAAAGCGAATGCCCAAACCGACTAAGTGTCCAACACGTCAGGCTCGGTGTGGTATGAGAAGCGCATAGAAGGCCTCCGGCGGAGCAAAACATCAATAAATTGTAAACATTTCTGTCCATAAGTAAGAGTTGGCCCAGAAATCACAAATAAACATGCTAATGGAAAATATAATAATAAAGCTATTAAAATGAATTCATGAAAATCATTTTAGTATATGGACTAAAGACACTATTGACTTTCTATTATAGTATTATATAGTATCACTATGAAAATTGAAAATTTATTTCGAAACCAATCTTAGGCTAAGCTCAGTTTTTATAGCAATTATTTAAGTTCTAAATGCTTTTATATAGCTTAGTTTATTCGACAAATAGTGTACACCTGCTCTGAATATGAATCACATAAGTAGTCCGAGCCATTATCTTCGTGGCCAGACAAAAACAAGCAGGTGTCACTCGCAACAATGACAATCCCCATGAGCAGCATCGGGCAATTCCCTGCATGCATTCAGTTCAAAAGTTCCCGCCCAAAAGACTCGAAATATTGTACATTTGAACTATTTGCGAAACGGCGGCTTAGCCCCTCTTAGAGCGTTTGAATGGAAACTGGAATAGAGACAGCGAGCAGACCACAGACTCCGGCTTCAACCTTTCATAGGCAAGCCAGAGTCCGAACTGGCAACAACAAGCACGATGATGATGCTGCTGTTGCTGTTGCTGTTGCTGTTGCAGCTTTTTCTCGTTAATGTTGCTGATACCGTTGTTGCCATTGCTGCTGCTGCTGCTGCTGCTGCTACTCTCGGTTCAATGCGGCGATGTTGTAAAAGTTTTGCGCACAAATCAGCAACGAACACAGGCACACACACACACACACACACACACACACACTCGTGTGTGTGTGAAAGGATACGCAAAGTGTATGAAATAAAAATACGACAGCAGCAACAGCAGCAGCAACAGAAACAACGCAGCAACAGCAACAACAAATGGCATTTTCAGAGCTCGAAGGCGAACAATGAATGCCAGAGAGCCAACATCGTTAGGGCTTAAACCAGCAGCTACCCCAAATTCCCCCATAGCCACATAGCAGTGCCCCGACCACTTTGCCTACCCCCGCCCAGCCCTGTCCTGCTCCGCTTCCATCTATGGTCGATGGTGCCCAAACATTGACGCTGCGCTGCGTCGCACATTTTCAATGCGCTCGCCTCGAAACGGTGGAAAATGCGCGTCCGTTGTTAGTCGGAAAACGTCGTCATCCGTCGACGGTTGTTTGGCTGGCTTGGACCAGGTCTGGCTCGGCCTGCTAGCTACAACGCTGCCTTGGCTTGACGTTCGTTATGCGCTAACTGCAAATAACACAGCAGCCGCAGCAGAAGCAGAAGCAGCAGCAGCAACAACATGAACAACAGCGATAGCAGCAGCAGCAACAACAGCAATTCTTCATATATATTAAAGCGAACGAGCCGAATCGCACGAATGCGCTCGGCAGTTGCTCGGCTAAAGCACGAGCTTCATTTTTGAGGGACGTGGAACGTGTGCAAAACAGCAGCAACAACAACAACAGCAGCAGCAATCTCCCTCTCTTTCTATGAGTGTGGCTACTCGCACTCACTATGTATACATGACGATGTGTGTGTGTGTGTACATATGCATGTGTATGTGTGTATGCATGTCTATGTTTCTATGCATGAGTGTGTGTCTCTGTGCAATGCCATCACGTCAGCCAAGCAACCAAGCAAGCAAAGCAATCAGCAGTCAGTCGGGTCAGGGAATGGGGAATTGCTGTTGTTGTGCCTGAGTTAATATATATATCTATTTATATGTATATATAGAGTCATGTGAGTGTGTGCAGCTAAGCCGCTGCCAGCCAGCAGCCGCAGGGGCCCCCAAGCCAACGACAGCAACCACCCACTTTTATCAGTCAGCAAAAGGTCGTCCGGCTATGTGGTTGCCTCTGCTGTGCAGCAACAGCGAATGATCATAATGAGCGTCGAGCTGATGACGATGATGATAATGAGTCGATTGAGCACCTGACTTACAATTGCTGTTTGTCAAGATCAGTTGACGCAGCTCTGAGCATGTGAAATGATCATTTTGCCGCTTAAGTGAGCATTTTATAGGAACACGAATCATTCAGCAATTTCTGTATCAAAAATCAATTTCTGTCAAATTACTTTTTACTATGCGCAGCACTTAGTAGTACTATTCCTGTATGTGTATTATTATTTTATATATTTAACATGGTTTTAGGGTCTATCTTGGCTTGTCCATGAAGCAAAACTAAAATAGTTACTTCAAGAGCCATATAACTGAGTCTTCCTATGATCATTAATTAATTTATGAATATTAATTAATTTAATTGCTACAAAAATAATTAGCAAATTTAAAAATGTAAGTCCTTTAAAATATAGTGCAAGCAAATGCTTTTAATATTTAGCTAACTCACATACTATTAATTTCTTTATAAATATATGTTTATATTTATTTGATTGAACTATGCTTATCCTAGGATCGCGTAAAATATATTTATTTAAGATATCAACAATTGAATTATTATAAATACTCTTCATCCCTTCATTAAAAAAGTCTTCAAGATCGATTGCAACTGCCCAACGATCAGTGATCGATAAGAGTGCGCGTTTATGGCCAGCTCTTTATCGATCACTTTCCTGCATGCATCGAATAGAACCGTTGAGCAGCAGGCACATTTATCGACTTTATGAAACGGGCAAACAACATAACCATCCTAACGCCGCCTTTGTTTGCCATGCACTGAAATAGTTAAACTGCCAGTGAGTGGGGGTGGGTGGGAAAGAGGTGGTCCTATCGACTCATAATGTGCGAGCCATAGTCAGGCTCCGAGCTTCATGCTACATGTGATGTTTTTCTGGTTTGAGTTTGGGTTCGGGTTCGGGTTCGGGTTCGGGCTTAGTGGCTGCGTTGCGGCACGCACGCTCCTGGCAGCTGGTGTGGCCCGCCTGGCAGCTTTCCACGGAGCAACTGAAAAGGCGAATCGGAAAACTCACAAGCGGAGAAGGCAACAACAATAATAACAGCAGCAGCAGCAACTAAAGTGCGCATGTGACAGGGTTGCCGACGAGTTTGAGGCTCGTCGCTCGCTGCTCGCTATGTGATTCGGCTCGGCACGAGGGCAACACTGGTTGACTAGTTGGCTGGCTGACTTGCCTGCTTTGCCTGACTGCTTGTTGGCCTGGTCCAAAGCTATTCAGTACGAACTCTGCACTTCGCACAACAAGACAACACAGCGACAGCGACAACGACAACGACGAAGACGACGCCAACGCGGCCAACGACAAAAAAGACGTAAAATTCTGCTAAAGCGCCAAAGCCAAAGCGAATTACTTAAATTTAATTTACGCGCCCAGTTCAAAACTTCATAGAGCCATTTTGATATCGAGCCTTGTTCAGTTAGTTGTGTATTCAAAATGTGGAGCTGTTGCTACCAATTGCAGCAGCAGAGGCCGCACTAGAAGGGCCTGCTGCACCTGCTCCCACAATTAGCCAATCTACAGCAACTACAACAACAGCACAAAAAGGCGCCAAAAATCAAAGAATTATTACAAGCAAGGAATTCCCCCGACTAACTGCAATGAAAACAATGAAAATGTGGACCGATGCCAAAAACGTGAGTAACCTGATCCTTAGTCAATGATCACACACACACACACACACACACACACACACACACACACAAGGTTAGACCCTAAGCCTTTGAAGCTTCTGCTCGCTGCTGATAATGATGCGATAGTTTAGTTCTTTTGTTTTGATTATTGAGCTTCAGCAGCGTTTACGCTTTGTCTGCGCTTCTGCTTTGGTGTGCGTTTACCGGTCGAGGCAATTGAAAAGCCATTTGGGGAATGCCAATGGGCACAGCTGCTTGGCCAGGGGTCGGGGGAACAGACGTTGGCACGCATCACGTAGCCACACAACAGGCAGACACGCATAGCATGCGTCGCCGTCGCAGTCGCGGTTGCCGTCGCAGTCGCCGTCGCCGTCGTCGTCGCAGTCGACAGCACTATCAATTCGCATGCTCATTCCACCATTCGTTCGCCATTCACCGTTCACCCATTCTTCTTCATTCCCATGTCGAGGCACAATCGAAGCAATGTAAACAAAAGCCAACGGCAAATATTTTTTTTTTTCTTTCAACTTGTTTTTGCTTGTTCTTCTCAGCAATTAAATGAAAGTTTTCGATGAGGTGCGACCATGGAATGTGCGCTGCGGGGCCAGCGGTGCCAACTGGGGGTGGCACCACATTGCAGAAGCCGGCGAGCAAAACAAAAACTGCAAAAATGTCATACGTCGTCCATTGTGTGCGTGCCGTGCAGCGCAGTGCACAATGTGGTGCGGTGCAGTGTGGTGCAGTGAGTGGGCCACGAGATGGCTCGGGGTCAGGGGGCATAGGCACTGTCTACTCACACACACACACACACACACACACGCATTTAACTGTCAGCAGCTGTAACTTTTCCATGGGCGGCATCTGACTGTGAGATACGCTAAATAATATCTCTACTATAATATATGCATATATCATAATATAATACCTTTATATTTTGTTTTCTTAACATCATCTTTGGCCAAGGCTGGTCTTGAGATATTCTTTGAGCATAAAGATATTCTATGGCTTTTAGCCTTACCCAAACGTAAACTAAGAATGGGAAAACAAATGTATTTATGTACACATGATGTACATATATATATATATATATATATATATATATATATGTATATATGTATGTGCATAGTATATGATAATTGCCTCGTATAAAGAAATATTTTACTTTAATATTTGTTTATTTGTAAATTGTGATTTAGTTTATTTGTTTATCGTTATTTAAAGAGATGCCAATGCCTGTGCTTTGCTTAGAAGCTAAAATGATTCACAGCATAAACTCAATTCCCAAAGTATTTAGAGTCAAAACAAACTTTAAACCGAACCTGGCCCGCACGTGTGATACAATATACCTTTAAATATTATTAATGCATACATACATACATACATACATACATACACACATCTACACACATTAGCTTGATCGATATAATTAAGCTCCATAATCTCGTCAGTAAATCGATAACAAGGCTGACATTTACGATAAGTTCGATGAGTGTTGTAGATCCCATTCGACTGGGCTTATCTAGACTTATATAAGCCATAAGATCTAAGTACTTTGTTTATAATGACACACACACATAGACAGACAGACAGACATACAAATAGACGCCACGAGTTGAACGAACTTCAGCTGGAATGAAGCGGACAAAGTTGATTAGGGAAGTTGGCTTGGCTGATTTCTAAAGTGGTCATAAACAAAGATGCCACTTGTCCTTGACACAGTGACAGGCAACCACAACAAAGTGCACACACACTCACACATACACACACAAATACGTATGTGTATTGTAGCAAGCATGACTTGCGCTTGGGCATTGGAACAGCGACGGCAACTGCGACTGCGGCGCTGCCGGCGGGAGACGACGCGTCGTCACTTCTCACACCCCAATGGAGATGGAGCACATTTCATTATCGGTGCCTGTGGCCGGGTCGTTCATGCAAATGCCTCCCGATTTTGCATAGCTTAGGTCAGTTTCCGTGCCATAAAAAAGCAAACAGCTGCAGCCGCAGCAGAACCCTTTTTTTTAGCCATATGTGAACATAAAAATATGTATGTGCATATAAAGGCATTTAACGGTTTTATGTGTATTTACCATTAGGCTTTCAATGGGCAATAATAATGGGGGCTGCTCTTTGCGGCGGGCCATAATTTATTGGCCACTTGTTCCTAAGCAGCGTCAGCCGTAGCAACCTGCCGCAACAGCGCACACACACACACACATACATTATACAGAGTGGCACACGTATGTAGCAGTACTATGAACGGGCGAGCGAGCAAACGGAGTGAGGAGTGAGCATTGAATGGCACTCGCTAATAAGCATCAAGAGCAGACACAAAAGGGCAAAAGCAAAACGAGCAACCGCAGCGACAGCAGCAACAACAACGGCAACAGCTGAGACTAGAGAGGCCGGTCAGGCAGCACGTGCTAAACACATTTAACGACAACTACAACAGCAGCAGCAACAACAACAACAACAACAGTAACAAGAGCAATAACGATAGCGTCAACAGTGGGCCGCGGTGTGCGGGGGGCACAAAAACGATTAAATTAAAAACCAAAACAAACTAAAGAAACGAGCGGCGACGTCGCTGTCGCCATCGCCATCGCCGTCGGCAGCGACGCCGACAGTGCCACGCGAGACGATGACAACAACAAGGAGAGATACTCGCACAACATGTTGAGTACACCAAAAAAAAAAAAAAAACACAAAAACAAGCAGCAACAACAACAACAATAAATGCGCATAATAAACGTCAATTTAAAATGCTAAAAGCTCAACGGCGACGTCAGCGCCAGCCGCGCAGTCAGCGACGACGCAGTCGGCGACAATAATAAAAAAGGCGAATCGCCAAAAGTTAAGAAGAAAATACAACACACATACAGACACACACACACACACACACACAACAACACAGTGGGAGACATGGTGACGGCAGCGTCGAACGACAGAGGCCAAAGTAAGCAATAAAAATAACCCTTTTTCCGGTTTTTTGTTTTGCTTTGCAGTTTCTAATCAAGAGAAAATACATAAAAAGCAAAATTGCCGTTGCGGCGACGGCGACGCCGACGGCAAGCTGACTGACTGAATGACTCTGAATGACTTTGTTGTCAGGCCGCTTCGGCACTCGCTAATTCTTTTGGCATCGGCCACACGCTCACACATAGAGATCTGTTTGCGTTTAAATGTGTCTGTGTGTGCAGGCACTTGGGTACATAATTTGAAGCAGCTAAAAGGGATTCCCCGATCCTTGAATACTTACGCCCCTAATCTTTTTAACGTGTGAGCTTTGTGAAAAGGCAGAGGCAAGATTCGAAATACTATTGAAAGAGGCGCTTTGCTGCTAATTAGACCTCTTAGAATAAACAGCCATAGGTCTAATTGGATATGAAGTGTGGTTGTGATGTGAATACTCAGAAGAGTCGCATGCTTATTCGCTATAAAGAATTTTACTTAGTCAACTAAACTATTTTTAAATTCAATTTGAATACAAAAATATAAAGTGGAATTTGAGCCAGTAATAACTTGGTGCTTGCAAATGTAAAAGTGAAATCTAGAATCTGATTGGATCAGCTGTTCTATACACTCATCGATTGGGTGTTCCCCAATCAGCAATCAGCGATTGCTCGAATTTTGCAGTCGCAGTCGCAGCCGCGGTCGCGGTCGCAGACAATATGCCTTGATAGCTTACTACTAATACTACAACTACAGCAACGAGCTGCCCAGCTAAATAAAGAGGCAATAAAAACAATAAAAATCATCTCACAGCGATTTACATAGCGATCAAAACAAAAAAAATTATAATACAAAAAATCAAGCACATACAGCTGGGGCCTCGTTCCGCGACCGGGTCGTCGACGTTGACGGCGATGGCAACAGCGACGGCGACGGCGACGGCGACGTCGAAGTCGATAGCGATGCCGGTATAATAAATAATTTCGATTTGACTTATATTATTAGCTAAATAAATAAAAATGAATGAAAAAAAAAAACAAACAAACAACGAGAGGCCGAGGCATGAATGAATAAAAGACAAGCCGGCGCCACAGACGCCGCCGTCGACGTTGACGAGAACGTCGCTGCCGCTATCGCTGTTGCCATCGCCGTCGCAGTCGCAGTCGCAGTTGCTGTCAACGCAAGCAGCGCTGCTTAGCGTGAGAAAAACCATTCAAATTGTCAAACGAGACCAAACGAGACCGAACGAGCCGGCGGCACATACATACGTAATTTTGTTTCTCTATTAAATGACAAATCAAACGAGCCAAGTTATTGACTGAATGCGAACAGTTCGAAAGTGATTGAGTTGGAAAGAACTTGGTCAGCAACGCTAATTTATTTATACAGTTATTCTGCCATTGATATTGATAATATATAATATTATTATGCAATTTTCTACAAAATGTATGACTACCAAGAAGACTTCAGGCTTAGAGCATCAAGACTAAAGAAAGTCACTGTCTTATGAACCTACGTACCTAAACATACTATAAACACTATAAAGAAACATCTTGCGGACTGAGCTAAGTTTAGCGAACCGTTAAGAACTTGGACCTTGAAATTGAAATATTTTATTTGGTTGCTTTACTCTAAGGTCAATAGAGTTTTTTTGACATTATATAGAGATACATAATGTTCAATGCTGCAATGCAACTATTTTCAGACGTCAATTGTCACCGTTGTTGCATGTTGCGTTTATCATGCTCTGCTGCTATGCAAACATAAACTCATTTTCCAGCCTGCATTTCGTGCCAGTGCCATACTGAACAGCTGTTCCATTGTTGCTGTTGTTGATGGCGCTGCAAGGAGCTAGCTATTAAGAGACGGCGTCACAACCGCAACTGCAACTCGTTTCCAGGCCCACGCCCACCTCCTTAACCACTTGCCATTCATACGCTTTGGCGCACGAAATCGCGTATCAAAACAAAAAGGCAACGACAGCAGCAGCAGCAGCAGCAGCGGTAACGGCATCGGTAACGACGTCGCAGTCACGTCGACGTCGACGCCGA